GTTACGTTTCTACAAAGTCGAGAAAGAGCCACGAGAATTCCAGCAGTGTACCTTAATCGAAAAATAGTCTTTTCTGAGTCTTTTTCCGACTCACCTTATCCTATACATCTGGGTGCCCCTTCTGTTCACCTTCATTCGAGCTCAGTGCACATTGTGAGTAACAAGTAAGAAAAATCGATTTTCAAATACCGTTGCTTGACCTACCAAAAGTCTTCCCTTCGGTCTTCTTGAGACTCACCGTACTCTTAATATAGGGCGGCACCGCCTATCAACCCTCATGCCGCTTGGGTACAAGGCTTCAGTAACAAGTGCGAAAAATCGATTTTACAGCACTGTTACTTGGCCTTTAAAAAGTCTTCCTTTCAGACTTTTCAGGCCCACCTTATCCTATATATATGGGTGCACAACGTGGTCGTGGTCATTTGAGTTCAGAGTCAGGTATGAGTAACAACTATCAACCATAGATTTTTTGGGAGTATTATTTGATCAAAAAAGAGTCTTTTTTTGGTCTTTTCAAGTCTCACCCCCTACTATATGAAGGGCTGTATCGCGTGCTCGCGGTCATTTCAATTGGGATTCAGTTATGAGTAACAAGTATGAACAATAGATTTTTGAGGAGTATTATTTAATCAAGAAAGATTCTTTTTTGAGTCTCACCCCCTACTATAGAAAGGGCTGCAACATGTGATCGTGGTCATTTCAATTGAGAGTTAGGTATGAGTGACAAGTATGAAGAATGGATTTTGTGAGGAGTATTATTTCATCAAAAAAGATTCTTTTTTAGTCTCATCCCCAACTATATAGCGGGCTGCACCACGTGCTCGTGGTCATTTCAATTGAGATTTAGGCATGAGTAACAAGTATGAACAATCGATTGTTTAGCGGATGATTTGATGGAAAGAGAGTCTTTTTTAGTCTTTTTAAGTCTCACGCCTACTATATAAGGGGCTGCAACAGGTGCTCGTGGTGATTTCAATTGAGCGTTATGTATGAGCGACCAGTATGAAGAATGGATATTGAGAAGTAGTATTTGATCAAAAAAGAGTCTTTTTTAGCGTTTTTGAGTCTCACCGCTACTATATACGAAGCTGCAGCACGGGTTAGTGGTCATTTGCATATAGTGTTAGGTATGAGTAACAAGTATGAACAATGGATTTTTTAAGAGTATTATTTGATCAGAAAAGAGTTTTTTGTAGTCTGTTCGAGTCTGACGCTCTACTATATAAATGGCTGCACCACGTGCTGGTGGTCGTTTCAGTTGAGAATGACGTCGTAGCAAAAAGTATGAACAATCGAACGTTTAGCGGATGATTTGATGGAGAAAGAGTGTTTTTCCGTATTTTTGAGTCCCGCTTCTGTTTTTATACAGACACGCACGCCGTGGTATGTGCTGTTGAGGTCTACAAAGAACCACGAACAAGAACGATGAGTAACCGATTCCGGTTATTGAAGTGTAGTCGTTTGGATAGCTTTTCTGATGAGGTTCCTATATGGTCTCTGAGTAAGGATCCTGCCTCATTTTCGTATATATTTAAAGAAGTGTTCTAGCATACGACCGATTTAAAAGGAAACCGCAATGCCTGAGCGTTTTGTTTTTAACCCAAAACGTTCCATTAGAGAATATCCCCAAACCCAAGCATTCACTAGAATACAATCCTGCCTTTGAATGAAAAAATCATTAATGGTCTTTTCACATCTGCTTTCATAGTTTTCCACCTCGCAGAAAGTTCTTGGAAAAAGTCTGTGGAACCTAGAAAACGACCTTTTTTCAAGTTTTTGCGCGCTAGCAAATCTCACAAGAAAAGTCTTCACAGCACTCAAACAGAATGTTTCGTACCTATTCGCAATCCTCAGAAGAACTCCAAAGAAGTCTCGCAACGTGCCAGACTGCTTCCCGTCGAGTCTTTTTTCAACTGTTTCACACTATTATAAGGAGTTCTCTTCGGGCCAAAAACCTCTCAAAAACTTTTCGAAACGACTTTTTCTCTGGGCCCTCAAAAGTCTCAAAAAGTCTCAATGAGTTTCAACAAGTCTCAAAAAGTTTCAATAAGTCTCTAAAAGTCTCAATGAGTCTCAACAAGTCTCAAAAAGTCTCAAAAAGTCTCAAAAAGTCTCAGAACGGTGAATACGGCTGTTCCTGGCCGCTGTAATGCTCGTTCTGGGCACTGTATACGGCCACCGTATACGGCCGTATACGGCCGTTTCTGGTCACCGTAATGCTCGACTTGGGGTAGAAGGAAGCGGAATGAGATTACATGGGTATTGAGTTGTATCTCGTCTGATTATCATTGAAAGAATAACATGTGCATAAGACTCTACTCGCTTCTGAGCCTATTTTATTGTATGTGTCCGAAACAAGTATATGAAACAGTAAAAAGTAATAAAAAGTTTCATGTATGAGTTCCTATATTCGAATCGTCTTGTTCCTCATCCATTGTTTTGCCTCTTGTTTCGGGCAAAACCATTGTTAACAAAAGGACGACTACTCCTAGAATCGATGACACATAGAATGTTATTGATAAGTATTTGTCGCTCACGGAAGTACTGATAACCGGTGCAATAATAGCTCCAAGGTGACTGAAAGTAATGAAAAGTCCATTTGCAGTACTTCGAATAGAAGTCTGAAAGAGTTCAGGTACGAATATCCAAGACACTGATATTGCACCTGATATGGCATATTTTCCTGTTTGAGCAACGAGCACAGTAGCCAGTGCACCGTGTTTGATAGCGAATGGTATGGTGAGAACGCAAACTGCTGTGAGACCCATCATAATGATGAATGTACCTTTACGACCAAGCCGTGTAACTATGAGAAAAGAACCGGATATATAGCCAACAGCTTCGACCACAGCTCCAATGAGAACTCCAAGATATGGTGATATATTCATGACTTCAAAGCCGTAGCTTATTTCGTAGTAAAGCAAGTACGTTGTGAAACCAAGAAGATCTATAATTAATACTTTAATGACGGTGGGTCTATGTGAAAGAAGTTGACGAACTTGTTTGAAAAATGACGCTTTTATTTCACTGTTAACTTCTGTGATCGATTGATTACGTAAGAATTCCTGAAACGATGGATACCATTGTGCTTCCGTTCGTTTATTTCGCGTCGCTATCCGACGCAAAATTGTTTCGAGTTCAGTATATTGCCGTTTGGAATAGAGATAGAGTGGCGTTTCCGGCATAAAATAGAGATAAGGTAAAATTAAGCCAATAAAGACAGCATTGATCCATTTAAGCTTTTGCCAGTCCAGAGTAAGATAGGCAGAAAGAGTGATTATTGCTTCACCAATTGTATAAGCGACAAGTGCCGTATTTCCGACGAGACTCGTATGAGCCGCTGATGTTAATTCGAGCATGAGAATAAAAGCCATACTGTAAGTCGAAATGGTAAGACCAGATACTAGTTGATTGAGAAGCAATAGGGTAAACCTATCAATATATTCAAATTATATACCTGGAAGCATATCGAAAGAAATCTGTGATCCGATTGCTTTTAGATATTGTAGATCGTTCGAATCACATGCTAGGGATAACTGAATTTTGTTTGATAAGAAAAGTGCTCAGTAAGTATTTTCTCTTGACTATTAAAATCATATCTAACTTCGTTTTAGGGTCTCTAAATTTTTTATATATGTACTTCAGTGCAAAATATACCGTCTCGAAATTCCAATGAAGATTTTGAAAATATATTTAATTCTAAAAAACTGCAATTTTCAAGGTGGTAAGTCATAAAAGAAAACAATAAAAATTCATTGATTGCCACTAAAAGTACCTGAATTAGTCAACTTACTTGGTACTTGTTGTCATCGGTATCCATTGCATAAAGATTTGTGTAATGACACACAGCACAAACAGAAGAATAGTTGTCACAATCGTTGTTCTTTTTCGTCCAAATTTATCGCCTAAAGAACCGATCACAAGCAACGAGAAGCCACCAGTTTGCATTAATGTGTTCAACAAACTTTTCTTTGGTTCACTATGACAAACAAGATTAGCTTCTTCAGTAAATGAATAACCAAAGACAGATCGATCGTATGCCCAACCATTCGGACAATTGACCAACGTCCGA